ACTTACTCAGGTCTAAGATCGAGCAGATCTATTGATCTGGTCTTTGACTCCCCACCTTCTACGTATTCCAAAATAATTCCTTTAAAAACAAGTGATAAACAGGTCATAATTAGACTTCTGGAGTTTTATAACATGCGCTGTAGACAGCAGCACTTCCACTTTCACAGCTCCACTGACTGCAGGAGACAATTCCAGTTCTTGGAGCTGGAAGGAGGTTAGTTGCTATTGCTGACAGTAAGCATGGTGATGAACAAATCTGATATGCTTATATGAAAAAAGATATTAAATAATATTATTTCTGAGCTATCTTGTATTCTAGAAATGAACAAGATCTTTTTTCCAACAGCTTTTTGTATCATTTGATCAGCATTAATTTTAAAGAAGCTGTCTTCAAGATACTTGCTGTAGTTTGGTGTTCCAAGAAGTCTGGGAAACATTTTACAAAACTTATTATTTATATTTATTCTAGTGTTTGCAAAGGCTTGAGTGCAGTAGTGTATCAAAAATCATTAAAACACTTTACATTCCCAGGTTTGCTCTGGCACCTCTGCAACTTCCACTGAACTGGAGTATTAAAATGTTTAACCACATGGCTTCCTGTTTTGAAATAGCTAATAAAGGGCTCAGCTGCTCCTTGACTTTCTGTGGGAAAAGACAACTTAGATGACCTTCTGTGTCATTCTGCATTTCACAAAGTTCATAGGAAAAGTCACACTTCTGTGACTACACTGTCACAAGCTTCTTCCATTTCTTTATGTGTTGGCACTGCAATAAGTAACCCATCCATGTAATGTATGATTATTGCTTGTGGATATTTCTGTCGAGCTGGAGACAAAGCCTGTGCCACAAACCATTGGCAGATAGTGGGCGACTTTTTGAATTTGAAAAGAAGAACCTTTTTCTAATATACTTCCCGAGCTGGCTGTCTCCAGCTTGTTTCACTGCTGAAATTTCACTGAATCACCTGAGCACAAGGTACACCATGCCAGTCTGGCAGCACTGCTTTTCAAAGCATGGCTCCACTCAGAAAATTTATAAATGAAGGAATAAAAATAGGAATTAGTATCAGCTAGGTTGGAAAAGGCCTCTGAGATCATTAAAACCAACCCAGGACCACCTTCTCAACCAAACCCTGGCACTGAGTGCCAGTCCTTAAACACCTCAGTGATGGTGACTCCCCCACCTCCCTGGGCAGCCCTCTCACCCGTCTGAACACTGTTTCTGTGAAGAATTTCTTCCTAATATCCAACTTAAACCTCCCTTGGCACAGCTAAAAACAATCCTCTCATCCTCTCACTGGCTGCCTGGCAGAAGAGACCGGCCCTCACCCGGCTCCAGCCTCCTTTCAGGTAGCTGCAGAGAGTGGTAACTTTTTTTGCTAAACAGCCATTTAAAAATACAAATACTTTTTTGTCACCGTTGACTTTTTAAACTCCTTACTGTGATGCGAGTAAGACTGCCTTGACTTTGCAGTAAGTTACTGATTACACCCCCGACGGGTGTTGAGCCGCTCCCCGCTGCAGCCTCCCAGGCAGGCACCGGGACAAGCGGGGGCATCCCCGCTCCGCTCCGGCCGGCTGCAGGTGCGCCACGGCCCCACCCGGCCCAGCCCATTGCTTACGAGCTGAGGGGCCCCGCCAGACGGGGGAACCGCACACCCCGCCGCACGCCCCACACCCGCAGGCTCCCGCCCTCCGGCCCCGGCACAGCCGCCGGCAGTGCCCGGAGCCCCCCGGCCCCGCTCGCTCCGCACCCGGCGGGAAGTAGCGCAGCAGGAGCCGCCTCAGCGCCATCGCCGCCACCGCCGGCCCGGCCCGCGCGTCCGCCCGCAGCCATGGCAACGGCCCAGGGCGCATGCGCGGGGCTGAGGCGCCGGGCCCGCCATGGCGGGGGCGCTGCTGTGGCCGTGCAGCCCGGTCAGTGGTGCCACCCCGGTGCTGGCACTGGGCACTACATCATCCGTACGGGGCTGAGAAGGCTTCAGGGCTGCGCCACTAGAACGAAAGGAGCGGATTTATGGAGGAGTGCGCTAAAATACACATATAAAATTTGGAGTGCCGAAGAGCCACTAGTAACGGCGTAGCAAATGTGTGAAAGCTTTTTGGAAGGTGAATAGTTACTTTCTAAGGAAAGAGGGCAAAAATTAATTTAAAAAAAACCCTACTAATCAGTTTGGTTTTTTTAAAGGAGATAGGACTTAAGCACAGCTATGAAAATACAGTTCAGAATCACACAATCATTAGGGCTGGAGAAGGCCTTGCAATAGAGACCAGCCATTAACCCTGCACCGCCATGTCCACCACTGAACCATGTCCCCAAGGGCCACATGCCTGTAGAACACTGCCAGGAATGGTGATTCCACCAATTCCCTGAGCAATTCTCAATATCCAATCTGATCCATTCCCTGGCACAACTTGAGGCCATTTCCTCTCATCCTGTCACTTGTTCCCCGGGAGAAGAGACCCACCCTGCTCGCTACAGCCTCCCTTCAGGGAGCTGGGAAGTGATTGTGTCACCCCAGTCTCCTTCTCCCCAGCTAAACACCCCCTGCTCCCTCAGCTGCTCCCCACAGGCTGTGCCCCACACCCTGCATCAGTGCCACTGCCTTTCTTTGGATATGCATTTCATCAAAAAGAGAAGAAAAAATGTCATTGAAAACAGAAAACCAATATGGAAGCATGAGAAGATAATGCATTAATAGCATGAAAAATTTGAGTCAAGCTCATGCTGAAATGGCTGTAGAGCATCAACAGGGGGAAGCAGTAAACACATTCTCATTTGGCCAATCTCATAGCCCATGTTGTTGACAATAGATCAATACAAGACAGTCCCGCTCAGTGTTTAACAACACATGACTTTTCCAAAACCACCCATATGGCTCCCTACAGCTTCACTTTGAAGACAGTCCTTTGGTTTTTTGAAAGCCAGGAAATAAAATACAATGGCCAATTCCAGACTTCAGGACACGCCTGGGGGACAAAATGGTCTCTGAGTTTTTCATTCCCATTTGTTTGTTTTAAGTCTTTTATCTTGTTTGTATATGGAAAGTCTTGAGGCAGATAAGAAACATTTTTATTGAAAAGAATCTGAACAGCCTTCCGACTTACTTGGACCAACCCTATTCAAAAATAACTTTTTGAGCAACCCCAAATCTTGGTGGTCTCCAATTTCTTAACAACTTCTTGTATTTGGTTAGCATAAAATTTATTCACCCAGATTATAAATTCAGAAGAAAAATATTTTTCTCTTTGTTTAACTTAAATGATGTGAACAAACAACTGTGGCAAGGACACAGCTTCTTACCTTAAAACATTATTAGTTCATCATAAACACAGATTCATGTAGCCTTTCAGGTACCTTCAGTATTACTTAAAAGTACTACATTTAATTGTTTTAGTAATATTTAAACAAAACAGTCAGAACAGGGGAGGGAAGTGGAAGGACTGCAAAGCTCATGACATCAGTACCTGTTGATCAGTACGTTTTCCCCTCACTTTCTTGCTCCAGATCTTCATCGACACTTCACAGTTTGTCCTTACCTGTAATTAGGATGCAATAATGACACAAGATGATGACTCAGGCCTCAGCTGTCACCTCTTTCCTTGCTTCTGCAGTGGAGTCACGGCAGAAGTCAATCCCTCTGAGCCCTGTGCCTGCTCTCCAGGCTGACCCAGAGAGGCACTGATGGGATGGCCTTGTTTGCTCCACGCCTGTACAGGCACTAGAAAGCACTGCTGACCCCTGAGAGGGGACAAGGAGCTCACTCTGTGCTGACACAAAGCTTTTCCCACAGTGCTACCCAGGAGAGGCCTGGGTGCAAAACACATGTACAGTGACCACAGAGTGTCCTTGTGACAAGACAGAACAGAGCTGTAGCACCAGTAGGATTACCTGAGGAGGCTTTAGGGAAAAGGGGGAAAACTGTGGGGAGAGAAGGAATGGAAGAACTTGCTATTTCATTTTTACTTGGAGACTAGATAAGAGGGATTCTAATGATACAGCAGACTGAGCTTCTGTCCATACTGTTAAGGAGAAATGCAACTTTTCTTCAAGTTCATGGAAAGAGGCAACTACTGCATACTTTTAGAAGGTATCTTCAGACTGCTGGGGCAAAATTGTTGCCCTGCTATTTTTTCAGTGTCTAAAGAGTGCACACAACCTCTGAGTCATAAAAGGCTGACTTCAAAGCATGCACCATGTAGGGAGTTCAAAAATATCTACACTGGAAATAAAAATTAAATGCTGAGACATACATTTTTTATATACAAGATCAAAATTATTGATTATATCAGCCTGGAAAGATAATTTATATAGCAGTTGCTCCCTGTGCATTTTTGCTTATGTCAGCAGCTTCCAGGGGAGGCAGAAGGTTGAGATAGTACAAAACTCATTGGTTCTATTCAAGAGGCTTTGAACACTTTTAGTGGAGATTTATTTACAGTGCTGAAGGGAACGCTGTCAGACAATGTGAAGCAAAATCAGTGCAGTTACAATTAAGAACTTCCTTTGGAGAACCTTGGGTTTTTTCTGCCAACACAGGTTCTGAAAAATCCTCTCTTGAGCCAATGTAGCATCCTAAGGATAAGATGAAAGAAGTGTTTCTGACTCAAACACGCTTGTTTGCAGAGAAGAGTGGGGCTTAGGCTTCCTGCATCATGACCCACTTGTTCTGAAGTAGGTCAGCCTGTGGTATGCTGAACTCTGTCAGAAAGGCCAGCCCAAGAGCAGTCTGAGTAGAGGGAAAGATGTAGAAAGCCACTTCCTATTTTTGTTATGCCAGTAGTGGGTGAAGTGAATTTTTACTAAGGGGAGTTTTTGTGTGCTGTCCTTTCTCATAATTTTCAGGTCTGCAGAATGCAGAAGAACAGTTGTCTGATAGTTCCTTGTTTCTGCTTGGTGAATTAAACAGATTTACTTTTTTTCCCCCAGGGTTGTTTTGTTCTGGCCTATTGTGCTTCCTCTTACCCAAAAAGACTCAGTGCATTGCTAAAGCTCCTTCTCACTTCTACTCTGTTATTTTCAATGCTAATCATGACACCACAGCCATGAAAAATGTTAAAACTACTTATGTAAGGGGCTTTGTGTTCTGGGAGTTTGCCCTTTGCTAGGTAAGAGTTGTTCTAGGAGAAAGAAGTGACAGTGCATTGTAGAACAGTGTTCTCTTTCCCAAGGATTGTTTTTCCTCTTTGCATAGCTGTTTCCATTAATTTAAAAATCTAAAATTAAAAATGAAATAAAATTACTGGTCGCAATTTGCCAAGAAAGCGTGTCACCCACAAATTTCTGTTCACATGAATAGTTGCTTGTGACGTTCACCTACAGTGAGATAATAACAAGTAGCAGAAAGGAGCAGTAGTTCTCTTCCTTACTCTTCCATGTTCCATCTCTGACAAACTGCTGGCATATCCCATGCAGTCAGGGCATTCCATACATCCTTACTTGCTTCAGTCAAATTTTCACTTAGCTGAAACAATTTTTTCCTTCCTGTCCACTTTTTATGACGTTCCTCTTAACCTTGCCAAGTTTATGAGTTGACCCAACAACAAAAAAATCCTCAGTACAAAAACCCCAATGAGATATATTTATCTTACCGCTTCTGAGAAGAACTCAGAGATGCTTTAATCTTTCTTTCCATGGCCCATGGGAGCTGAAGACCTTTAGGCTGAGCTCTGCATCGTCCCATCGAGACGGCGAAGCTGACGGTGCTGGGTAATAACGCAAGTGTTCTGCGGTTGGTGACTTCTCAGATGCACCCCATAAGGAAAAGACAGGAGCTCTCCTACATGTACATAATGCACAATTGGGTCAAACCATGAGTCAGGAGGCAGCAAAAACTCCTGACAAATAACAAGATTTCTAGTAAGTCTACAATAGAACTGGAAAATATAAGTAGTTAAAGGCTCTTTGTTTCAGAAAACACGACTTTGCTGAAGTAGATGCATGTTCATCTCACCATTGTTTATAATTCTTAAAAAAAAAATCCTAAATAACTGACTTGTGATTTCATTTTATTATCTATAATTCTGAAAATTTTTAAGCATTTCACTTAAGCAATTCTTTTTTCCATATCTGTTTCAAGGCCAGGTTGGTTGGAGTTGGATGGGTCCTTAAGCAATCTGGTTTAGTGGAAGGTGTCCCTGACCATGTCAGGGGGATTGAAATTGGATGATCTTTAAGGTCCCTTCTAACCCAAACCATTCTATTACTCTATATTCCCTCTTTAAGTGTGGTAGTCCTACTACATTGTCTTCTCTTCTTTACCATCATTTTGATGTTCTTCGTATGGATGTGCAAAACAAGGTGCATGTATATCAACCATTAATTGTAAAGAGCAGCAATACAGCACTACCCACTTTCATAGTCATGAAACATTTTTGCCTACTCTTGTACCAATTTGGGGAATGCTATAGAGTGAGCAAGTCTTTCAGATTTGCAGATATCTCAGATATCTGAGATTTGCGTCATCTCTGAAAGACATTTTGACCATTTATTCCTAGTCGTAACAACATAAAACATTCAGATGCTCACAGGAACACACAATCATCTCTTTGGAACAGCGCTATTAAATGTACATTTGAAAATAAAGAAATTAGTGTAGTAGGGTATATAACCAAAACATTATTATTTTTCAGATATGCATGAAAAGCTTTTATGTGAGCATTTTGATTTGCATTCCCCAAACACAGCTATATAACAATTCTTATTCATACATGATATACAATTCATATGTGAGTGAACAACTGAAGTCACTCTATACACTGACCACTCTACATCTCTTGATTTACCTGCCACATTAAATTTGTCATTCTCAATTTCCCATTTGCCTACTTTGAATGTTTATAGAGATATCACTGGCTTTGTGCCTGACCAATGATGCTGCAAGGATATTGAACTACTGGTTTAATCTTGACACAGTAATTGACAATTTCACTGCCAATTGGACCACTTACCTGAATCCATTTCCAGTGGCACACTCTGATCAGATGGCTTGATCAGTCAGTGCATGATCAGTCAGCTGTCTGCTCCCCCACAGGTCTGAGGCTGTAGCTCCTAAAAGATTTGCAATGTTTCTCTGCCCTTGGCACCTAATGATGCTATCTGCTGGCACCTCCATATTGTGTAAATCAATTCTTGGTACAGAGTTTATCCTCTTGCAAGTCAAGCTCATTCAAAAATAATCTATGTTTTGATTAAATTTTATTATCCAAAAGACATAGGATAGACACTGTACCTGAAGTTTGGCTAAGAAATTAAAAATATTTTGTGCTCTGTTTTAAACACTTTGGTACATGCCTGCACTGATCATGGGTTGCCATCTGCTCTATTTCCATGTTTCATGTTTCCTGAGTTGCTGTATATTAAATGGATCCTATAATTCAAGTTTTCTCACCAGGAAGCCCAAGTGGGCCCAGGTGGGCCACCCTGCTTCCTTTTCCACAAGCTGGTTTGTATGTTTGTTTGTTTGTTTTTTCTCTCTCCCTCCTAATCATGGGCACATCTCTTAATCAAGTGTCTAACAGAAAGCTTATCTGATATTACAGGACAGTGTGTCCTCTCCTGCACTGTGACACAGACACAGCTACTGATAGCCTGGGTGTGCTGAATTGTCTCTTAAGGCCATTCCATCCCTGTCCAGCAGTAAAGATGTCAAGGAGAAAAAACCCTATAAAACAAACAGAAAGAACATAGGCATCTTCAGCCTCAGCTAGAACAACCATTGTTTTCACTGAAAAAGGGGCTCAAAATCATAATTTCTGACAACTGGAAGTAGTGTTCATTGAAAGAAACATGGCAATGACCTTCCTGTTAAATTTCACTACTACAGCTGCTGCACAAAAACATGAGTTGGGTGTTGAAACATCATGCAATTATCTTGGGTGCGAAAAGCTGTTGAGATGTTCTTCATAATTTTTTTCCAGAGTTTTGTCTGAGTTAATTTTGAGGGTTAGAAAAAATAATCATTATGAGGCTTAGATTTTTAGGTAAATCAAGATACTTCAGGAGAACCTGGTATGCTGAAATGTGTTGAATAGAAAAGAAATTAATCAAGGGATTGGGGTTTTTAAATTTATCTATGTGGTAATTAATTATATATTTAATGAACCTCAGTTGATTGCATCTCATGAATATTAAGAATTTGGAAGGAACCAAATTTAACGGAACCTGTGATATGACTTTTTATCTGTAGAACAGATTCCTATACAAAGTCAACATGCATCAAGTTACAACTCCCACTTGCATCAGCCACCACTTCTGAGAATAGGAGTAGTGGTGCTTTTTCCTTGGATGCTCATATCTCTTTGCTGGCAGTATCAGTCTAGGAGAAAGTGCCATGTGCAATCTCTCTCTCCTCTCTTCTGTACATCAGCTGTGTGGCCACAATGGTGGATAAAATCCCTCTCATATAGGACATGCCTTTTAAGTATACCCAGCAAATTCCTTATATGGATGCTATTTAGAGAATATCTATATTTTTATGGAGTTTCAACACAAATTATAAAATTTCTCCTTGGTACAAAGAGAGTGTAAAAAATACGAGAGTATTTAGTTTAAAAGTTAGGGAGCAGGAAAATTTCTGGAACATGGAAATTTAAATACAGGGGCTTACAAGTATAATTATTACCTTATTTTGGGGGTATAAATGAAGTCATGGAAGCAAAACTACAGAAATGCTGTCGTGAATTTAAAAAGAAAAATTAAATATAGTATTTTAGTCTCTATTTTTCCTGTAGCATATTTGCTTTTTACCCATGCAGTATTCTAAATTTCATCTGCTGCTTTTACATTTAATATGTATTTTGTATGGCAGAATCTTTGGCTAATGCTAGAAATTCAAGAAAGCTAAAACACTATTAAATGAGTGCCTGGGTTTATTTGCAGTGGTAGGTCTATGAGCAATACCCTATGGCTAATGTACAATAGCAGCCACAGGACTGCAGCTATTGTACATCACATTTAAATGTTCTAGCACCAGCAGCACTAGGAGGGCTTTGGCTGGAAGCTGCCTGCACCTGACAGCACAGAAAGAATAAACACAGCAATTCAGGAGCCTGTACAGACTTAGGATTGCAACAGTGCTCAATTAAGGCTGACACCTCCCAGAATAGAGCAACCACAAGATCATGGGAACATAAATCATAGTCTTCATTGATGTACAGTCATACAGCTGTAATTGCTTAGTATACTTAGCATGCACAATGCAGTGGGCTTGTTCTGAAGACTAAAAGCTTCTTTTATGATTCATTTTTTGGCAAAGGATATTGCCTGTAGCTTGATATTTGGAGGAAGACTGCCAGGGTGTAGCACAGCTCAACTCAGTGTACAGAAGGTCTGTTACAATTGATCCATTTCTATTGTTTTGATGTTTTTCCAGCTGGGTGGATGCCATTAGAATCAAGTGACTGGGTCATAAGCTTAAAGCCCTTTGCAGTTCTGGAGTTCCCCAATTCAATTCTCAACAAATTGCAGCTGAGTAGTGCATGCCAGTTCATCAGGAGTGAAGTTAAGCTGCACGTGGGCTGGTTGGTAATTGAAAATAACTGACCAATTATCCACATCCCTGTGGGGGGCTGGAAGTGTCACTGTCACTCAGCACACCAGTGAGCTGGGCTTTCAGATATACATGACTGCAGGACAAGGCCATTCACCCATTTGTCTCTTGGATTTGCAGGAGCTTTACAACCCCTCTTTGTGTTTTTCTCCTTTTAGAGGAAAAATCAGGAGACAAGGAAGGAATAAAACAGTCTTCAACTTATGGAAGCTGCCATCAAGCTGCAATAAATAACTTGTTAGTACTTCTCCAGCAGAAGAAATATGGCAGGTTTTATATTTTAACAGCAAAATTAAATCATCAGATTTGCTATTCCCTACAAAAATCCCTGACCATGTAGTGCTACTTATTTTGTTGCTTTGTGCTGGAGTGTGATTTAAAAATTTAGAAATGAGTAAATCTAATTATGATTCCATATGTGAACAGAAATTTTTCTGTCAAAGATCCTAACACAACAAAAGGCTGCAGTTCCTGATTTGGAAAGGTGTGAAATTGCTTTATGGTAAAAAAAGGAATTAAAAAATAAGCAAAAAAATTTATTAAAAAAAACCACAGAAAGAACAGAAACAAATAGTGTTCAATAGCAATACTGCAGCTAGCACAAGAATCACTGAGGAGTGGTTTCAATACAGAGAAAGCAAGACACTTTGAAACTGAAGTATAAAGTGTTCAGAGTTTGAAGGGAAAGCTCTCACATCCGCTTCCCAGATATCCAAGTGATAATAAAAAGCATTTTGCAAGAAAAAAAATTGTTTTTTAAACATTATGCAAATGGAGGAGAAAAAGTCTCCAAATGACCATTATTTAATTCTGCATCTCAAATTATTCAACAAAATTGCACAGGCTGAATTAGGAGCTGAAGGCCAAAGATAGAGAGGAGACAGAAACTCACCTATTCACATGCAGAACAGTCCCACCAAAGTAATCAGGATTCAGGTTTTCCTAGAAGGGGTCATGATTTACAGAGCTGTCAGAATTTCTAACTGACCACTTAAGTTTACATACAAAAATGTGCTTCTGATCTGATGATTTTGGAGTCCCAGCACTCAGTTATAAAACCTGTTTGTATCCTCAGGAAGGCATGGAGGGACATGCTATTTCTACACAGACTTTCCTACCAGTAACATAACAACCTTAGCAATTTCTGATATTGAGCATGGAAACCAATATTTTCAATATCTTTCCTCTTCCCAAGAGCTTGGTTATGAAAAAAAATTTACCCAGAATGAGAGGAACTAAAAAGAAATCCCTCAAGTCCTTGCTCTGAGCATGTGGGGTGTTGTAGCAATGGTAGCATGGATGAGCAGAGGAAGTGTGAGTTACAGAAGCATTACAAAACTTTAAAGAGGCCTGAACTGGGAATTAAGAGCCACCCACAGAATTCCACACACTGGTCTTCACTTCCTTATTTTGCTCCCTTGCTTTAAATTCAACCCTTGCACTCCAGGCCTTTCTGCACCAAGTTCTTTACAGCTCTGGTTCCTAACACCAATCCCCAGGGTAGGCTTGGGGAACCTCACCCTCTAGCACTTTTAACACAAACCCATTCCTCATGTCTGCACCACTTTTTGGTACCTGATTTAGCCTATGAGCTCTCTGAGCCCAAACAGCCCAGACCAGTACTAGCAGGTAGGAGACAGAGCTCCACAATTCTGCCCAGAAGTTAGGGGAATGCCCAGGGAAAAGGCTGGGTAATTACTCCTCCCTGGAGAATACCTTATGTTCTCAATATCGGGAATCCACCTGAAGGAAATTAAAGCTAATTAATTTTGCACCTTTAGATTCCTTACTTCTTGAGAGCTTCACCCATAGGGAACTGACAAGTCCCAGATTTGTAGAGCCCCAAGCAGATTTTTTAAGTTCTAGCAGTGTTGAAACCAGAAAATAACAGGCTTACACTCATGAACACCATTTTAAAAACCCAGTATCTCTCAGCTCCTCTCTCAAGGGCACCAAAAATTCTTTGCCTTTAATTTTAAAAATTAAATTAAAATTAGTGCTTGTATTTCTATGACTAAAAGGCACTAAAAGACAAGATGTAAATTTATCCAGAAAACTGGTGCTGGCAGTGGGAGGACTTCACTTGCACACCCTACCTGGTCACATCCCTGAAGTCCACATGGGCCATGTAGTGGAGGATAAAAAGCTGAGCAGTCTTCCCCAGCCCACCTGCACCCATCTCTTCCATGAGGTCTCATTATTTTATCAGGCATCCCTGGCCTCCATCAAGAGCTCCTGCATCAGGAAAACCTCATTATGCCAGAAGCCATAGGATACCATAGGCAGACTCAAAAAGCAGAGGAAAGCAGTGCAAGTTTCTCCTCTAGAGAAAGCCCTTTAGGTTGAGAGCAGACTGTTACCACAATGAATGCTCCTGGTGGATAAGCTGGAGAAGCTTGCCCAGTAACAATGTGTAAGGCTCCTCCTGAATAAATAGAGAAACTGGCAAAAGGAGTTCTCTCAAGTCTGATTAAGATGAAGCTAATTCTTCATGGTAAACAAAATTTGATATATAGCAGCAGGCTGGGGCTGAAGAAGGAATTACCTCCTGTGGAGGTCATGGCTACCCCTAGGGCAAGCAAAGTGAGTAAGGTGGAAAGTGGTTGTAACAGGTGTCAACACACCTTTGCAATTGTTTCAGCTGAAGTCTCTTAACAAAGCAATTAATTTCAAGGGCGAGTCATGTTTTCAGTTAAAAAGAAATAAACATATCACAGAGAGTGCTGATTTTAACATTTAATTTTTTTAATCTCCAGTTACCATTTTTTTCTACAAACAGACTTTTTTTTAACAATAATTCAAGAGGTATTATAATGCTAACTACAGCTTAAAGGAAACATTTTGTCACAAGACAATAACAAAATAAACATAATAAATAACCTGCTTTACATATGCTGAAGAAAACAAAACCAACATGCAATAAACTTAATAAAATTCACACTCTGTACAACAGCTCAAGGTAGACCTTACTAAACAGTACTCATGTCCTATCAGTAACATACACATATTAGTAAAAATAGAAACTTCAACAAAATGCTTAACTCAAGCAACACAGCGATGCAATATGAATCAACTCAAGAAGTTCATGATTCCAAAGAAGCCAGAGTTGGCAGTGGGTGAGCACACAGCACTGTACAAACCACCTCAGCCAGGAGCCTCTGCCCTGTGCTTCTTCAGCCATGTCGGTGTTTAGCTCCTTGCTGGAAACTGCATCAGGCTGACATCCTCCTGAGCCTGTGGCTGTTAAAAGGAAGAGAGAACACACATAAATAACGACCTCAATTACAGTTTTCTCTTCTCCCCTGAGAGAACAGCTCAGGTGGAAGAAGGGGCATGTATCTTGACTGTCTCTGAGAGGACTCCAGAAAGGAGTAGTTAAGTCTGACAGAAGATGGAAAGAGATGGATTCCTACCTCAGGAAAAGGAGATGTTTCTTCACCCAGCCTTCCTTAGGATTTACACAGGCATTCAGCCCACTGGCAGTGTGGAAACTGGAAAAGAAATAATGATAAAGAAATCAGAAATCCCTGCCAATAAGTGCTGTGTGGAGTACAGTTACTCTATATAATGACCAATAGAAACTGCTTTTGTAAACGCCAGCTAGACATGGAGGCTCCAAATCCCTCCAATATTATATGAAGAAAAAGAAAGTTAAATGTAATAGCTACTTCAGTCTCAGGGATCAATTTTGCACCATAAAATGTTCAATTTATTTGATCTGTTTAGGGAAAGACCTTTGCTGGATGCTAGAAACAACTGGTAAAATTGAGAATAGGTGCTGTCAAGCTAAGGTGACAGATCAACATCTAGGCCAAAACCTTGTAAGTAAAACATCCGGTCCCTGTGAATTAGAAGAAATCTTGTCACTTATGTGTCTGTTTACAGGTTTTGGCAAGGGAGCACTGTGTTGGCCAGAATAGCCCTTAGCTGGAGACAAAACCTGTCCTTGTTTGCACAGCTGATTTCTAAAGAGTCAGACTTATTATTTACATTGTACGGCTATCCCTTGGGTTAGCAGTCCGTATCAGCTAGAGGTTGTGGGTTTTGTTTACAGGTGTGATATACAATTTCTTCAGGTAATTTAACTTTTTGAAAAGACAGGAAAAACCTCTCTTATAACATTCAAATCCTTGGTTTAGCCCAAACAGACATCCCAAGATTAATACATATCAGAAAATACTGCAGAGATTGAGAAGGTAACTTACATGATGGCAGGGATGTCGCAGACCTCACTGGGGAGCTGCTCAGTGTAACCCTTCAGGACCCACTTAGGCAGACGCACTTTGGTGTAGGACAGGCAGCAGTCCTGGTTGCTTTGTGCTGGAATGAAGAACAACAACAAGGTAAATAAACTCCATTTGGCCCTGCTGTTTAGGTCACTCTCTGCCCAACGCCAGCCATGCAGCTCACCCGTGACAGAAGAGGGGGATGAGACAGGAGACAGCACACTTTGCTGAAACCATTCCCTTCCAGCTCAGCCCCTCACTGCTGCCAGCTGTGAGCAGCAGCAGCAGGAGCCCTCCCCAGAGCAGAGCTCCCGAGGTCACTCACCTTCCGAGGTGCCGCACAGGAGCAGCGCCAGGAGCCCCAGCAGGGACACCAGGACCATGTTCTTGCTGCTGCAGCCGCTCATTCCCTCTGCACACACAGCTGTGCTCCAGTGAGTGCCTGGCTGTGCCTGCTGCTCCTGCCAGCCCTGCCGCACCTCCACCTGCTTATAAAGCAGGAGCCCGGGAATTCACCCACGGGCGGGTTCCACTGTCATCAGCGGGTTTCCCCACGGCGAATTCCATCTCGCCCGATTTGGCCCCGGCTCTCCTTCCGGGTGCTACAAACGGAGATAACAGTGTGCTGGGGAATATTCTGATATTTTTTTTTTTAACCAAGTCATGTAAAAGATTCGGTCTGAAAGAAAAGGAAATAAAAGGCTGTGAAGTAATGGTTCTGTGGGTGAAGCATGTGTAGTTTTAGGGGTAGGAGTGTGGGTTGTGAAATGAGGAAAGTCAATGTAGGTAACTTTAAATATTACCTACAGAAACTGTGTGTCTGCTGTGCTCTAGTTTAATGAACGCAGCCTGGGAGCAGGGGCAGGTGGGCTGAGCCAGCCAGATTCATTTCAGTGTGCCAAGGAGCTGGGTCACAAGCTGCACCAACACCAAAGTGCTACATTAATATTTCCTGGTTGGCCCACACCGTAACATCGGACTTTCCAGATTACTGTTTCTGAGCTCTGGACTGTAGTATTGGCAGGGACACGCAAGCAGCATTGAGTATTCATGGAAATGGGGTTTTTTCGTTTCCTTAACCATATATTCCTTGCCATGACTTCCTGCCAGCTTGTTACATGTCTGAACTATTTCGTCTGCAACAGAGTGAGCTTAAAAGAAATTTGAAATGGGGCCTATATTCTCCAAATCTGTGTTTTCTAGACTGCATTAATGTTCTTCATAAACAATAGCTGTAGCTTGTTGCTTTCCCAAACTGTACCAGAGTATTGTAACTCCTGAACATTCAACAAAAATACACTCAATCTTAAAATTGCCTTGCACAGCTCTAGAGAAACCACCAGGGAGAGGCTCTGTCACCACTCCAAGTACATTGTTGGAGCCACTACTCAAGGATGGAACTTTCCCATGCTGTTTAGGGATCTTTGTGAAACTACTGTGATGGCTGCAGGCCATGTCCTGCCAGCCAGTGCTCACAGGAGCTGCTGCCATCTCCAGGTGCTTACAGAGTAACCTGAGCTTAAGTGTTTAAGCTCTCTCTCAAGGTAAGAGTCAATGGACAGTCATGGGCAGTGCATAATTACATGCCTTCTATGCTTCACAGGGTGCCAGTACTTCTCTCAAAGGGTGGTTTGTATAAATAGAAACTGCTTGAACTCTAAAACAGACTGTGATTCAGAGAAATTAATTTCTCTATGTAGTAGTGAGAATTGAGGGAATTTCATATGAAATTTCATATACATGAGCAACCTTGCAGTGTGCACAGCATCACATACACTGGACATGCTTCTCTGCAGAGCTACAGCAACTGGCCAAAGGATGGGGAGGAGGCAACAAAGAACCCATGCCCTAATGAATGCAGCTTTTTGTGACTGTTTTATGGATCATAGTGAAATACTCTCAGTATGCAGCTCTCTCTGCTTTAAAGACTGTCAGCATTAGGCAATGCCTGAAACTAGCTGACTAGAATGGTAGATTTTTTCTTTTACATACAGGTTTCATGGATCCCAAATCTATTATACCTACACCCAGCTTTGGCATTTCATATACCATTCCCTAGGCCATGCTGTTACCCATATGGAGGTGGCCTTGCACCTCATGCCTTCCTACAGCTCTACTTCTTCTCCACTGAGCGCTTCTTGGACAGAATCTTCTCATCTGAGCTTGGACACTTCTACCTAAGCCCCAGAAGTTTGGATACCAGGGCAATGACACTCCTCAGACAGCACTCACCCCATAGTGCTGCCCTCAGGCAGTTTCCATCACAGCTGTGGCTCCCACAACTGACCAGTTCTGCCCTCAGGCAGTTCCATCACACCAGTGGTTCCCACAACTGACCTTGGCTGGCCATGTGCCTTGTCACAGCTGGACATGTGCTCATTTTAAAAAGGTGTTCCTTTTATCTCATTTTTGTTTGATTTAGGAAATTAGGTTAATATTTAGATTTGGAACAACAGCCACAAGGAGGGCCCCAACTTCAGGAGTGCTGTCATTTTGTTTGTACTTGGTGTATACAAAGTACCTTCAGTTTATTTGCACAAAGTAGTTAAAACAATCCAAAAAGGTTTAATGCAAACAGCTGAAGAAAGTTTTGCTGGTTGTGATATGACACATAACTGTATCTTATCAGTCTTTACCTTCACAAACCCCTAATGGAAACAGAAGACAAAAAAATATATAAAAACAAGGAGGTGCTTATATGTCCCAGGGAAGTGTTTTTCTTTGTTCCTTGGGAGTGAGGGGACAGTGAATGTTGTCCACCCTGACCCAACCAAACTTTCAACCTGTGTGACCAAGTGAGGCCATGTGGGCTGGCCAGGGACTGCCACACAGCCAAGAGATGAAGCTTCCAGGCCCCAGGGTGGCCAGGGGCACCTCCAAACCTGTTCCTGGCTCAGTTGCAGGTGCCATATAAATGTGTTCAGTATCTTAACACTACTGCAGTTCAAGAGCTACACCTTGAGGGGGCCACCATGTCAAGGGAAGCCATCATTTCCCTGCCCTGGGGCCTGTGTAGGGAGGGCTGTGTCCAGAGTCTCCTCAGAGGGCACAGCCAAAGCATGACAGGTATCAGCCACAAGCTGTGAAAAGAGAAACTCCCATCAGACATAGAGAAGCCACAGCAAAGGAATGAAGCACTGGGACAGGTGGCCCAGGATGGGAAAGCCTTGATTGAATAGCCTTGCAGATACTCAAGCTGGATGTGGTCTTTCCCTGAACATGATCTTAAACTTGGGTTCCTTCCCAAGCCACAATCACCCCTAAATTATTTTTCTGGGTTTTTCACATTTAGCTGTTTGTTTCTTATTTAGTTCCCTGACTTATTTTTCTTCCTGATTTGACTTTGCTGTAAGCTTCTCAGCTTCCCTTCCTCCTGTTGTCCCTCCTCAGATCCCCTCACAATAACTGCACACACAGTAAGGCAGAGCAGCAAAACACAGACTGTGTTCATAAGCTTCCTGTCCTGTTGTTCCAGGGGCCAGAGAAAGCAGGCTCAAACCCTTCCTGTGTGTCTAACAGCAAAGACACCCTAGGTGCCAGTGCTACAGTCAGACCTGTGGAAGAAATGCATTAGGGAAAACTGAGCCTTTTCCCAAGTAATACTGGGGAACTGACAGTGCTGAGCAGCTTGGGGATGTTAAAGAGGAGAGCTGGGGAGTCAAAGTGCTCTCAGACCATCTGCAAATCTACAGCCAGAGGCAACTTTCTCTGGTCACCAAGCTGCTGCATCCTGATAATATACTTCCTCTTTCATATCCTAAAGAACTTTTACTCACAGAAATATTTGCTGAAAGTCTGAAGTGCTGAAGAGGACTTAATAGTTCAACCTTGATAAACACCTCCATACAGGGCAACAAATTTGGGGGGGAGGGCATGGGCTTACCACATCATTCTCCCCATCACAGAAAAGCACAGGAGCAGTCTGCCTGGTTTCCATGCAAGGGTTAAAATACTTCATGGACTTTTGAAGAGAAAGACAGAGGAGGAATTTTACAATCATTAACCATTTGATTATTGTCACTTTATGGGCTTAGGTCTAACATTAAAGATGAAAGACTAAAATAAAGAGCTTGAATGTCAGCCACTGTTAGTATCTTTACCTGTGCCCTACAATAAGATGAGAAACATACTGCCAGTTGTTAATGAGCTAGCAGATAACAAGTTTCCATGTTTTCCATCCTCACAAAGAGACATTGTTTTATTGCTTATTAGTACCTTTTCTGAACTGATGTAAATAAAACTGTACAGCAATACTGCTGATCATCCAGGAAACACAGAACCAGATGGGGGAAATTCCCTTCTGTAATTTCCAGAGGTTTAGGGCTTCTTTGATAGAGCAAAGTGCATGAGAAGGCAGTAGCCGGAAGGAACGTGGCCAAATACAGGGATTTAATCATTGCATAATCTCTGATGAGTAAATGCATAATAAGCACCAAGCACAAAAGTTCCAGAGGTAGCTTGCTCAATATCTCTGGAGCTGTAGAGGCTGTGATGCAATCCAGTGATTTCAGGCAATTCAGTACCTGCATGACTGACAAAAGTTGTTATCTGAGGAAGAAGCCAATTTTCACTAATTAGAGGCTGCACTTCTTACATTACAGATCTAGAAATACCATTGAATGACATTGCTTTGATGCAATTATGGACAAGATCTGTACCTGTTGGGAGAAATTAACTTCCCATCTATCGAAAGTGCAGGTAGAGTAGACCTGGTGCACTTGACATGAGCATCCTGGCAGCATCCCAGCACTGCTGATTGCCTCCTGCTACCTACATGCAGAAGTAAAATATCTAATGTTCTGAAGGAAGATTTCTCCCTGCAAAGCTAACTCTCCTCTGTCTACAGTCCCTTGGGGTAGCCGACCACCTTTTCACAGAAAGGGACCTCTCAAATGTGATGGCAAAGCCTATAACTGGAAAGAAGAATGAAAAAAAAGTCTTCATTGGATTTGTGTGGCAGGGTTTTGGGTAGGCACTGGTGGTGGATTCTCTGCTAGAATCTTCTCCCATGTCTGGCAGAGCCAATGCCAGCTGGTTCCAAGGAAGGACTCAGTGGACAAGGCTGAGCCCATCACTGACAGTGGTATCATCTGTGGGATAATGTATTTAGGAAGGGGAAAAAACCCTGTGCAACTGCAGCCAGAGAAAAGAATGAGTATGTGGGGGATGGATGTATGAAACCACTCTGCAGACCCCAAGTGCAGTGCAGAAGGAGGGCCAGGACCGTGCCAGGTGGAGCCAAAATCCACAGCCTGAACGTGAAAATGCCTCCTGATACTGATAAAATGAGGGCTTGCACTTTAAAAATGTTTAATTCAGGAAGAGGAGAAAAAGATACTGTGCCTTGGCAATTATCAAAGAGAAATATGTGACATTTTCTGAATCTTGAAAGTAAAATACAAGAACAGAAGTAGGGAGGAAGAAAATCTGTGACTTAAATTTTTCATTAAAATGCAGTTTTAGGTTGGCTGAAACTGTTCATTAATTCAATTGAAACATGGTTTTGTATAAAATTAGAAGAGAACTATTAAGAAAATAGGAAGCTGCTTTTTTTGTGTTCTGTTTGCTTCCTCAGGAAGACCTAAGACAAATAATCCAAGCCTTATAAAGAAAAGAGAATAAAGAACTAAACAACATGAAGTAGTAATGTTTTAAGTCGACCAAGAGAAATCATGAAGGTTTTACTAAGTCCTACTTGACATACAGAATGTGTGATTACTTGGACTACTCAGTACATTGTGAACACAGCCAGTGTTTTGTCATGTCTTACTGGAAGACCAGCTTAAAAATACCCAGCAATACCTGCTTATTTGGGATTGCCACACAAAAACCAATCAAGACTGTTTTGAATAGCTGTTAGTTAACAGTGGAGTGGCTGTGTCATGAGAGCTGGCAGAGCAGCTGTGGACACAGGCCCTCTCAAGACAAGAGCTGCAATCACTGCAGCTTTTCACCACTACAGGGTTGCGTTATAGGGACTTTCCTGTGAGGAGCTTTAAACCACAGTTGCCCAAACCAACTGCCTTGGACTTCCCTCTCTCCAAGAGGCCTGCTCTTTTCCCAAGGAAACCACACCACCACATCCCTTCCATCCTGACTCTTACGGGTTATTTGCATAACACAACGGAGATCACTGACTCTCTCACCCTCCTATACATCCCTTTTCTGGACCTTGGTTATCACCCCCTGATTTCTGCAAGAGGCATTTGGAGGCCCTAGAAAGGGCAGCTTTGCCCTAGCTCCTGTGAAGGAAGCCATCTGCCAGGGTAATTTTTCCTCTTTTTCTGCAGGGTTCTCTTGGCTGCTTCAAGCACTCTCTTGCTTGTCCCCATTTTCAGAGTCTTTCTTGCTTACTGCCAGTCCAGACAACTGCAGCCAGCCCCAGAAGTGCCTTGTTGGTTGGCTCTTGGCTAGGGCTTTGAGGGTGGTGCTGTGTCCAACCATTCAAGCCTGCTCACAATCATCAGGGCTCCTGTAAACAAGGCAAGAACCAGAGACAGAAAAACTGTTTTAAGCCAGA